GGCCTTGTCGAGGACCGGGCCGCGGGGACACTGAAGCCCCGAAATCATCTCAAGATAACCTAAAGATATCGTCAGCATGGGCGCTCCACTGCGTGCGATAACCTGCGTCTGGACGATATTTTACCGCTAGACTTACGCTATGCTATCATAATACTGGAGGCCCCTGTGGTAGTGTGAGGTGTGCAGCCTGGTGAGGTGTGCAGCCTGGTGAGGTGTGCAGTCTGGTGAGGTGTGCAGTCTGGTGAGGTGTGCAGCCTGGTGAGGTGTGCAGCCTGGTGAGGTGTGCAGCCTGGTGGCTTGTGCAGCCTGGTGAGGTGTGCAGCCTGGTGAGGTGTGCAGCCTGGTGGGGTGTGCAGCCTGGTGGCTTGTGCAGCCTGGTGAGGTGTGCAGCCTGGTGAGGTGTGCAGTCTGGTGGGGTGTGCAGCCTGGTGGGGTGTGCAGCCTGGTGAGGTGTGCAGCCTGGTGGGGTGTGCAGCCTGGTGAGGTGTGCAGCCTGGTGGCTTGTGCAGCCTGGTGAGGTGTGCAGCCTGGTGAGGTGTGCAGCCTGGTGAGGTGTGCAGCCTGGTGGCTTGTGCAGCCTGGTGAGGTGTGCAGCCTGGTGAGGTGTGCAGCCTGGTGGGGTGTGCAGCCTGGTGGCTTGTGCAGCCTGGTGAGGTGTGCAGCCTGGTGAGGTGTGCAGCCTGGTGGGGTGTGCAGCCTGGTGGGGTGTGCAGCCTGGTGGCTTGTGCAGCCTGGTGAGGTGTGCAGCCTGGTGAGGTGTGCAGCCTGGTGAGGTGTGCAGCCTGGTGAGGTGTGCAGACTGGTGAGGTGTGCAGTCTGGTGAGGTGTGCAGCCTGGTGCGGTGTGCAGTCTGGTGAGGTGTGCAGTCTGGTGAGGTGTGCAGCCTGGTGAGGTGTGCAGTCTGGTGAGGTGTGCAGTCTGGTGAGGTGTGCAGCCTGGTGAGGTTTGCAGCCTGGTGAGGTGTACAGCCTGGTGAGGTGTGCAGCCTGGTGGCTTGTGCAGCCTGGTGAGGTGTGCAGCCTGGTGAGGTGTGCAGCCTGGTGGCTTGTGCAGCCTGGTGAGGTGTGCAGCCTGGTGGGGTGTGCAGCCTGGTGAGGTGTGCAGCCTGGTGGGGTGTGCAGCCTGGTGGGGTGTGCAGCCTGGTGGGGTGTGCAGCCTGGTGAGGTGTGCAGCCTGGTGAGGTGTGCAGCCTGGTGAGGTGTGCAGCCTGGTGGGGTGTGCAGCCTGGTGAGGTGTGCAGCCTGGTGAGGTGTGCAGCCTGGTGAGGTGTGCAGCCTGGTGGGGTGTGCAGCCTGGTGAGGTGTGCAGCCTGGTGGGGTGTGCAGCCTGGTGGGGTGTGCAGCCTGGTGGGGTGTGCAGCCTGGTGAGGTGTGCAGCCTGGTGAGGTGTGCAGCCTGGTGAGGTGTGCAGCCTGGTGAGGTGTGCAGCCTGGTGAGGTGTGCAGCCTGGTGAGGTGTGCAGCCTGGTGAGGTGTGCAGCCTGGTAGGGTGTGCAGCCTGGTGAGGTGTGCAGCCTGGTGAGGTGTGCAGCCTGGTGAGGTGTGCAGCCTGGTGAGGTGTGCAGCCTATGCTGGACCAGGTGTGCGAGGGCGGGCGGCGATAGTGTGCAATTTGTACCGCCAGGATCAAATTGTCTATATGTACTGTACTCTCAACCCATTTTTCTCTTTCATATCTACTACTACATATTTTTTTCTTCTCGCTCTCATGCACACACACCCATGAGACCCCATGAGCCACAGAGATATTAAGAACTTTTTCAGTGTCAGAGTAGTTAACAGGTGGAATGCATTAGGCAGTGATGTGGTGGAGGCTGACTCCATACACAGTTTCAAATGTAGATATGATAGAGCCCAGTTGGCTCAGGAATCTGTACACCAGTTGATTGACAGTTGAGAGGCGGGACCAAAGAGCCAGAGCTCAACCACCGCAAGCACAACTAGATGAGTACACACAAACCAGCCCATCCTTCTGTTATGGTAGTACTTATAGTAACGTATATATATATATATATATATATATATATATATATATATATATATATATATATATATATATATATATATATATATATATTGGAGCCGGTCGGCCGAGCGGACAGCACGCTGGACTTGTGATCCTGTGGTTCTGGGTTCGATCCCAGGCGCCGGCGAGAAACAATGGGCAGAGTTTCTTTCACCCTATGCCCCTGTTACCTAGCAGTAAATAGGTACCTGGGTGTTAGTCAGCTGTCACGGGCTGCTTCCTGGGGATGGAGGCCTGGTCGAGGACCGGGCCGCGGGGACACTAAAGCCCCGAAATCATCTCAAGATAACCTCAAGATATATATATATATATATATATATATATATATATATATATATATATATATATATATATATGTCGTACCAAGTAGCCAGAACGCACTTCTCAGCCTACTATGCAAGGCCCAATTTGCCTAGTAAGCCAAGTTTTCATGAATTAATTGTTTTTCGACTACCTAACCTTCCTAACCTACCTAACCTAACCTAACCTAACCTAACCTAACCTAACTTTTTTTCGGCTACCTAACCTAACCTAACCTATAAAGATAGGTTAGGTTAGGTTCGGTCATATATCTACGTTAATTTTAACTCCAATAAAAAAAATTGACTTCATACATAATGAAATGGGTAGCTTTGTCATTTCATAAGAAAAAAATTAGAGAAAATATATTATTTCAGGAAAACTTGGCTTATTAGGCAAATCGGGCCTTGCATAGTAGGCTGAGAAGTGCGTTCTGGCTACTAGGTACGACATATATATATATATATATATATATATATATATATATATATATATATATATATATATATATATATATAAATATATATATATATATATATATATATATATATATATGTATGTATATATATATAACGTATATAGTAACTCATATACCAACGTAAAACGAAATTATAAAGTAGAAGTCTGAACTATTGAGTTGGACAAACTGGAAAATTATTTTTTACTTGTGTTGCTTTGACTAACTAAACTAACCCTAACCTCTCTAGGCCTAATACACGATATCTAAGGCCTAATATAGTACATATGTGTGCTATACTAGGCCTAGGAATATTTACGTTTGTTTTAAAGCTTCATATATTTTAACGAATTCCTTACTTGTCACTATTCGACTATCTAAAAGCTAAGTGCTTAGGAATTCGTGACAATTGACGATCGTCACAATAGGTGCTATCTAAACAGGATGATGGTTTGCCCCCCCACCCCACCACACACACATACACACACACACACACACACACACACACACACACACACGCACACACACACACAAAATTTAAGGCGGGATCCAAGAGTCAATGCTCGATCCTGCAAGCACATATAGGTGAGTACACACACAAGGGGGGCCTGGTAGCCTGGTGGATAGCGCGCAGGACTCGTAATTGTGTGGGGTGGGTTCGATTCCCGCACGAGGCAGAAACAAATGGGCAAAGTTTCTTTCACCCTGGATACCCCTGTTACTTAGCAGTAAATAGGTACCTGGGAGTTAGTCAGCTGTCACCAGCTGCTTCCTGGCGTGTGTGTGTGTATGGTGTGGAAAAAAAAATAGTAGTTAGTACAAAGTTGATTGACAGTTGAGAGGCGGGCCGAAAGAGCAGAGCTCAACCCCCACAAACACAACTAGGTGAATACACACACACACACACACACACACCTGTTGTACACCTGTTGATTGACGGTTGAGAGGCGGGACCAAAGAGCCAGAGCTCAACCCCCGCAAACACAACTAGGTGAGTACAACTAGGTGAGTACACACACAGTTAGGGGGGACATGATCACCACATTCAAGATTCTGAAGGGGATTGATAGGGTAGATAAAGACAGTCTATTTAACACAAGGGGAACACGCACAAGGGGACACAGGTGGAAACTGAGTGCCCAAATGAGCCACAGAGATATTAGAAAGAACTTTTTTAGTGTCAGAGTGGTTGACAAATGGAATGCATTAGGGGGTGATGTGGTGGAGGCTGACTCCATACACAGTTTCAAGTGTAGATATGACAGAGCCCAATAGGCTCAGGAATTTGTACACCTGTTGATTGACGGTTGAGAGGCGGGACCAAAGAGCCAGAGCTCAACCCCCGCAAACACAACTAGGTGAGAACTAGGTGAGTACACACACACACACACACCTACACCCGTGTGTTGCTGGGTGTGGTGTGATGTGAGGTGCAGAGAGAAGGGAAGGGAGCGGACACGAGAGAACGCCAAGCCATCACGACTAGCACTTGGAAGGGGTCAGAATAAGGATTTGGTATGGGACGGTCGGGGATTGAACGCCGACCTGCATGAAGCTCTACCGTCCAGCCCAAGTGGTTGGGCAAAGAGATACATGATAGTTTACACTTGAAAAACATTAAGAGATACTGATTCCAAATCTCTACACGTAAATAACACCACATGAGACCAGGAGGCATGGCAGGATATGCAGAATACCCCCGTTGAAGAGCAGAGGTACAATAGGTACCCACGAGGGAGAACTGTCGACATTACAGACCCGAGACTGTTCAACACTCTCCCGCTACACATAAGGGACATAAGACTGGCCAGCCTCTCACGGTGTTCAAGAAATAACTTGATGAACAGTTTCAAGGTTTACCAGATCAAGCACAGACTTGAGAGTCACGAGGAAAGGCTGCCCTTCACTGCTATCACTACGAGGGGCCTCGTAGCCTGGTGGATAGCGCGCAGGACTCGTAATTCTGTGGCGCGGGTTCGATTCCCGCACGAGGCAGAAACAAATGGGCAAAGTTTCTTTCACCCTGAATGCCCCTGTTACCTAGCAGTAAATAGGTACATGGGAGTTAGTCAGCTGTCACGGGCTGCTTCCTGGGGGTGGAGGCCTGGTCGAGGACCGGGCCGCGGGGACACTAAAAGCCCCGAAATCATCTCAAGATAACCTCAAGATAACCATGAAGTGAAAAATACCACATTTTTGTGTTATTATTATGGTGACCTTCAACCTTCCACACTCAATGATGAGGAAAACATTAGACCAGTGTCTATTACGGTAAAAAAGGCTAATTTCCTTATTAAGTGCAGGAATATAAGAGTAGGTGTAGAGCCTTCTCCAGTGGGTATAGAAGCTTCTCCAGTGGGTATAGAAGCTTCTCCAGTGGGTGTAGAGCCTTCTCCAGTGGGTATAGAGCCTTCTCCAATGAGTGTAGAACCTTCTCCAGTGGGTGTAGAACCTTCTCCAGTGGGTATAGAAGCTTCTCCAGTGGGTGTAGAACCTTCTCCAGTGGGTATAGAAGCTTCTCCAGTGGGTGTAGAGCCTTCTCCAGTGGGTATAGAACCTTCTCCAGTGGGTATAGAACCTTCTCCAGTGGGTATAGAAGCTTCTCCAGTGGGTATAGAACCTTCTCCAGTGGGTATAGAAGCTTCTCCAGTGGGTATAGAAGCTTCTCCAGTGGGTGTAGAGCCTTCTCCAGTGGGTAAAGAACCTTCTCCAGTGGGTGTAGAGCCTTCTCCAGTGGGTATAGAACCTTCTCCAGTGGGTATAGAACCTTCTCCAGTGGGTGTAGAGCCTTCTCCAGTGGGTATAGAACCTTCTCCAGTGGGTGTAGAGCCTTCTCCAGTGGGTATAGAACCTTCTCCAGTGGGTATAGAACCTTCTCCAGTGGGTATAGAAGCTTCTCCAGTGGGTATAGAACCTTCTCCAGTGGGTATAGAAGCTTCTCCAGTGGGTATAGAAGCTTCTCCAGTGGGTGTAGAACCTTCTCCAGTGGGTATAGAACCTTCTCCAGTGGGTATAGAAGCTTCTCCAGTGGGTATAGAACCTTCTCCAGTGGGTATAGAAGCTTCTCCAGTGGGTATAGAAGCTTCTCCAGTGGGTGTAGAACCTTCTCCAGTGGGTGTAGAACCTTCTCCAGTGGGTATAGAACCTTCTCCAGTGGGTATAGAAGCTTCTCCAGTGGGTATAGAACCTTCTCCAGTGGGTATAGAAGCTTCTCCAGTGGGTATAGAACCTTCTCCAGTGGGTGTAGAACCTTCTCCAGTGGGTATAGAAGCTTCTCCAGTGGGTGTAGAGCCTTCTCCAGTGGGTATAGAGCCTTCTCCACTGGGTATAGAAGCTTCTCCAGTGGGTATAGAGCCTTCTCCAGTGGGTATAGAGCCTTCTCCAGTGGGTATAGAGCCTTCTCCAGTGGGTGTAGAGCCTTCTCCAGTGGGTGTAGAACCTTCTCCACTGGGTATAGAAGCTTCTCCAGTGGGTATAGAAGCTTCTCCAGTGGGTATAGAGCCCTCTCCAGTGGGTGTAGAACCTTCTCCAGTGGGTGTAGAGCCTTCTCCAGTGGGTATAGAGCCTTCTCCAGTGGGTATAGAAGCTTCTCCAGTGGGTGTAGAGCCTTCTCCAGTGGGTATAGAGCCTTCTCCAGTGGGTATAGAAGCTTCTCCAGTGGGTATAGAGCCTTCTCCAGTGGGTATAGAGCCTTCTCCAGTGGGTATAGAACCTTCTCCAGTGGGTATAGAAGCTTCTCCAGTGGGTATAGAACCTTCTCCAGTGGGTATAGAAGCTTCTCCAGTGGGTATAGAACCTTCTCCAGTGGGTATAGAAGCTTCTCCAGTGGGTATAGAACCTTCTCCAGTGGGTGTAGAACCTTCTCCAGTGGGTATAGAAGCTTCTCCAGTGGGTATAGAACCTTCTCCAGTGGGTATAGAAGCTTCTCCAGTGGGTATAGAAGCTTCTCCAGTGGGTGTAGAACCTTCTCCAGTGGGTATAGAAGCTTCTCCAGTGGGTGTAGAGCCTTCTCCAGTGGGTATAGAGCCTTCTCCACTGGGTATAGAAGCTTCTCCAGTGGGTATAGAGCCTTCTCCAGTGGGTATAGAGCCTTCTCCAGTGGGTGTAGAGCCTTCTCCAGTGGGTGTAGAACCTTCTCCACTGGGTATAGAAGCTTCTCCAGTGGGTATAGAAGCTTCTCCAGTGGGTATAGAGCCCTCTCCAGTGGGTGTAGAACCTTCTCCAGTGGGTGTAGAGCCTTCTCCAGTGGGTATAGAACCTTCTCCAGTGGGTATAGAGCCTTCTCCAGTGGGTATAGAACCTTCTCCAGTTTTCCAGTGGGCATAGAGCCTTCTCCAGTGGGTATAGAGCCTTCTTCAGTGGGTATAGAACCTTCTCCAGTGGGTGTAGAACCTTCTCCAGTGGGTATAGAACCTTCTCCAGTGGGTATAGAGCCTTCTCCAGTGGGTATAGAGCCTTCTTCAGTGGGTATAGAACCTTCTCCAGTGGGTGTAGAACCTTCTCCAGTGGGTATAGAACCTTCTCCAGTGGGTATAGAACCTTCTCCAGTTTTCCAGTGGGCATAGAGCCTTCTCCAGTGGGCGTAGAGCCTTCTCCAGTGGGCGTAGAGCCTTCTTCAGTGGGCATAGAGCCTTCTCCAGTGGGCGTAGAGCCTTCTCCAGTGGGCGTAGAGCCTTCTTCAGTGGGCATAGAGCCTTCTCCAGTGGGCATAGAGCCTTCTCCAGTGGGCATAGAGCCTTCTCCAGTGAGCATAGAGCCTTCTCCAGTGGGCATAGAGCCTTCTCCAGTGGGCATAGAGCCTTCTCCAGTGGGCATAGAGCCTTCTTCAGTGGGCATAGAGCCTTCTCCTGTGGGCATAGAGCCTTCTCCAGTGGGCATAGAGCCTTCTCCAGTGGGCATACAACCTTCTCCAGTGGGCAATAGAGCCAGCCCTTGCCAGCACGTGCACTGTTGCTCTATGTGCCAGGGGACGAGAGCCCTTCCCTCCCTCTAGAGAAACTGCCCGACACACATTTGAGGCAACTAGGTTAGGTTAGGTTAGGTTAGGTTAGGTTAGGTACTAGGTACAACTAGGTAAGATAATAACTACCGCTAATAACCTCAGTTATGTCCTATTTCTAGTTAGTAATAGGAGCTGGCATACAATTACGTCTATCCTGCAGTGTTACGTCTATCCTGCCGTGTTACGTCTATCCTGCCGTGTTACGTCTATCCTGCCGTGTTACGTCTATCCTGCCGTGTTACGTCTATCCTGCCGTGTTACGTCTATCCTGCCGTATTACGACTATCCTGCCGTGTTACGTCTATCCTGCCGTATTACCTCTATCCCTTGGTACACCCCCCCTCCCCCCCTCCCGTTACTCATTAACTTATCGAAACAACTTACACTTCAAGTGGTTTTTCCCGGATCAGTCTTCTGGCGGCTCTGTTTCTAACCATGCTTCCTGTGAACCATCTGTTCCATCAGACTGTTTGTTGGTTGGTGCTGCACGCAATGTGACGTCTTGTCAGAAAGCTTTATTTTGTGATGTGTGTATACAGTTACCTTGTGAACAGTCGCGTTGAACAGTCTCGGGCCTCTGGTGTTGATAGTTCTCTCTTGAACACTGTGAGGGGTCGGCCAGTTATGTCCCTTATGTGTAGTGGAAGCGTGTTGAACAGTCTCGGGCCTCTGATGTTGATAGTTCTCTCTTGAACACTGTGAGGGGTCGGCCAGTTATGTCCCTTATGTGTAGTGGAAGCGTGTTGAACAGTCTCGGGCCTCTGATGTTGATAGTTCTCTCTTGAACACTGTGAGGGGTCGGCCAGTTATGTCCCTTATGTGTAGTGGAAGCGTGTTGAACAGTCTCGGGCCTCTGATGTTGATAGTTCTCTCTTGAACACTGTGAGGGGTCGGCCAGTTATGTCCCTTATGTGTAGTGGAAGCGTGTTGAACAGTCTCGGGCCTCTGATGTTGATAGTTCTCTCTTGAACACTGTGAGGGGTCGGCCAGTTATGTCCCTTATGTGTAGTGGAAGCGTGTTGAACAGTCTCGGGCCTCTGATGTTGATAGTTCTCTCTTGAACACTGTGAGGGGTCGGCCAGTTATGTCCCTTATGTGTAGTGGAAGCGTGTTGAACAGTCTCGGGCCTCTGATGTTGATAGTTCTCTCTTGAACACTGTGAGGGGTCGGCCAGTTATGTCCCTTATGTGTAGTGGAAGCGTGTTGAACAGTCTCGGGCCTCTGATGTTGATAGTTCTCTCTTGAACACTGTGAGGGGTCGGCCAGTTATGCCCCTTATGTGTAGTGGAAGCGTGTTGAACAGTCTCGGCCCTCTGATGTTGATAGTTCTCTCTTGAACACTGTGAGGGGTCGGCCAGTTATGTCCCTTATGTGTAGTGGAAGCGTGTTGAACAGTCTCGGGCCTCTGATGTTGATAGTTCTCTCTTGAACACTGTGAGGGGTCGGCCAGTTATGTCCCTTATGTGTAGTGGAAGCGTGTTGAACAGTCTCGGCCCTCTGATGTTGATAGTTCTCTCTTGAACACTGTGAGGGGTCGGCCAGTTATGCCCCTTATGTGTAGTGGAAGCGTGTTGAACAGTCTCGGGCCTCTGATGTTGATAGTTCTCTCTTGAACACTGTGAGGGGTCGGCCAGTTATGTCCCTTATGTGTAGTGGAAGCGTGTTGAACAGTCTCGGGCCTCTGATGTTGATAGTTCTCTCTTGAACACTGTGAGGGGTCGGCCAGTTATGCCCCTTATGTGTAGTGGAAGCGTGTTGAACAGTCTCGGGCCTCTGATGTTGATAGTTCTCTCTTGAACACTGTGAGGGGTCGGCCAGTTATGTCCCTTATGTGTAGTGGAAGCGTGTTGAACAGTCTCGGGCCTCTGGTGTTGATAGTTCTCTCTTGAACACTGTGAGGGGTCGGCCAGTTATGTCCCTTATGTGTAGTGGAAGCGTGTTGAACAGTCTCGGGCCTCTGATGTTGATAGTTCTCTCTTGAACACTGTGAGGGGTCGGCCAGTTATGTCCCTTATGTGTAGTGGAAGCGTGTTGAACAGTCTCGGGCCTCTGATGTTGATAGTTCTCTCTTGAACACTGTGAGGGGTCGGCCAGTTATGTCCCTTATGTGTAGTGGAAGCGTGTTGAACAGTCTCGGGCCTCTGATGTTGATAGTTCTCTCTTGAACACTGTGAGGGGTCGGCCAGTTATGTCCCTTATGTGTAGTGGAAGCGTGTTGAACAGTCTCGGGCCTCTGATGTTGATAGTTCTCTCTTGAACACTGAGGGGTCGGCCAGTTATGATGTGTAGCGGAAGCGTGTTGAACAGTCTCGGGCCTCTGATGTGATAGTTCTCTCTTGAACACTGAGGGGTCGGCCAGTTATGTCCCTTATGTGTAGTGGAAGCGTGTTGAACAGTCTCGGGCCTCTGATGTTGATAGTTCTCTCTTGAACACTGTGAGGGGTCGGCCAGTTATGTTATGTGTAGTGGAAGCGTGTTGAACAGTCTCGGGCCTCTGATGTTGATAGTTCTCTCTTGAACACTGTGAGGGGTCGGCCAGTTATGTCCCTTATGTGTAGTGGAAGCGTGTTGAACAGTCTCGGGCCTCTGATGTTGATAGTTCTCTCTTGAACACTGTGAGGGGTCGGCCAGTTATGTCCCTTATGTGTAGTGGAAGCGTGTTGAACAGTCTCGGGCCTCTGATGTTGATAGTTCTCTCTTGAACACTGTGAGGGGTCGGCCAGTTATGCCCCTTATGTGTAGTGGAAGCGTGTTGAACAGTCTCGGGCCTCTGATGTTGATAGTTCTCTCTTGAACACTGTGAGGGGTCGGCCAGTTATGTCCCTTATGTGTAGTGGAAGCGTGTTGAACAGTCTCGGGCCTCTGATGTTGATAGTTCTCTCTTGAACACTGTGAGGGGTCGGCCAGTTATGTCCCTTATGTGTAGTGGAAGCGTGTTGAACAGTCTCGGGCCTCTGATGTTGATAGTTCTCTCTCAGAGTACCTGTTGCACCTCTGCTCTTCAACGGGAGAGATGCAATAGGCACAATACGGTGCAATACGGACAGGATTGCAATACGATACAATAGGTGCAATACGGCAGGACAATGGGTATTCTGTTAAGTATACCACATATATATTGGATCATATTCGTTAGGATATTAAGGGGTTGATGATGGTGATTCTATGGTATATATATATATATGGACCCATGGCACTCTAACTTGGGTCAGAGTGCCATGGGTGGGAGGCATTCTATGGCCCTTCAAAGTCCAGTTGGGAGTTAGGGTGATAAGAAATATGAGTCGAGGTTGGGGGTCACGTTAGTGAATAACTCATTTGTATTGTCGTATTACGTCTATCCTGCCGTGTTACGTCTATCCTGCCGTATTACGTCTATCCTGCCGTATTACGTCTATCCGGCCGTATTACGTCTATCCTGCCGTATTACGTCTATCCTGCCGTATTACGTCTATCCTGCCGTATTACGTCTATCCTGCCGTATACGTCTATTGTCGTATTACGTCGTATTACGTCTATCCTGCCGTATTACGTCTATCCTGCCGTATTACGTCTATCCTGCCGTTTCGTCTATCCTGCCGTATTACGTCTATCCAATTTTTACGTCTATCCTGCCGTATTACGTCTATCCTGCCGTATTACGTCTATCCTGCCGTATTACGTCTATCCTGCCGTGTTACGTCTATCCTGCCGTATTACGTCTATCCTGCCGTATTACGTCTATCCTGCCGTATTACGTCTATCCTGCCGTATTACGTCTATCCTGCCGTGTTACGTCTATCCTGCCGTATTACGTCTATCCTGCCGTATTACGTCTATCCTGCCGTATTACGTCTATCCTGCCGTGTTACGTCTATCCTGCCGTATTACGTCTATCCTGCCGTATTACGTCTATCCTGCCGTATTACGTCTATCCAATTTTTCGTCTATCCTGCCGTATTACGTCTATCCAATTTTTCGTCTATCCTGCCGTATTACGTCTATCCAATTTTTCGTCTATCCAAGCGAGAATTTACCGGTAATGGTATCGTTCTGCGTCTTAAGTATTTAATTCATTTCTCAGTGATAAAACTTGTAAATGTTTCAGTATTTATAAGTGGGGTTTTACTCTGACTTTGGCTGCAAGAGAAATATTTGGTTTAAATTTTCACTGATGGCTTTTTGATCTCTTTGTCTTTCCTCTTCTTTATACGATGCTCTCAATTTTAGCTCAATAGCTTCAATTTCCGTAGAAATGGAAAAATGTGCGTTTTGGTAGTTATGTGATTTGGTTGGTTTGTGTATATATATATATACATTATATATATATTTGTATATATATATATATGTATATATATATATATATATATGTATATATATATATATATATATATATATATATATATATATATATATATATATATATATATATACATATATAATATGTATGTATGTATATATATATATTGGTGTATACTGGCAGCAGGTTTTCTTTCAAACATGTCTCATTGAATATGACCGCATATTCTGTATTTACTATTTTCTGGTTTAGAGCTTCTATCCCTCTAACTATTTTCTTAGCATCAGGGCTTAGCTGAAATAGGAGTTCTCCAAAACTCATTTTCGTAATTTTAAGGTGAAGAAAAGAAGTGAATTACTATAGAATGTATTACACTTATTTATACAATTTGCACAACGTTTCGAACCTCCATGGTTCATTCTCAAGTGAAAAGAAATTTCAGGTTTGGTTGATTTTATACCCGCACTGGGTTAGGTGATAAGACAATAAAGGTGAAAACATGGGGGGGATACACAAGAATATAAGAATAGATGTAACTGCGGAAGGCCTATTGGCCCATACGAGGCAGCTGCTATCTACATACAAAGATTAAAGTGT